CGTTCGACAACGCCTCTGGCGCCGTAGGTACGGAGCTGACGAGGAACAACATCCATCGCCTCACGTCCGTACCACCGCCGTACCTGCTCGGCCGCTCGGCTCCTTCGGCCAATCATGGATCCGCCTCACATCACCGAGTTCGCCTCGGAAAGATACTTCAACAAGCTAAATCAACTTCACGAGCCATCTTCTACCCGATGATGGTCCTCACGCTGGATCATCAATCGCTCCCGCTCCCCAAAGCACGCCTGCTCCACCTTCTGAATCCACATTTATTCTTCCGCTGCGCACCTCCAAGGCGGTCGACAGCGAGCACGATACGCCACGTCCAACTGACCAAAAGCAAAAGAGCCGTTTCTTCGGCTTACGATCGAAGGTATCTCTACTTCAAAAATCTGCTCCAGCGCAACACCCACAATCTCCAACCCGTCATCACAAAGCAGCCACAGCTGAACCCGCCAGCCAGCCTTTCGACCACCTGTTCCTCGCTCTTCCCACAGAGCTCCAAATACAAATCGTCTCGGCTCTACCCCTTGCGGACATACTCAACTTGCGGCGCGTATCCAAAACGTGGCATACTCTCATAAGCTTGAATGAGGCGCCCATCGTCCGCCATCACCTGGACCACCACATACCCGCGTATGCTCTCCGTCTCTACCCCGCAAATGAGCCGACGAAAGTTACTTTCCACCATCTCTGTGGTCTCTGGCACCGACTGCATGTTGCCGCCAAGCTCTCTTTCCTCATGTGCGAATGGATCACGAAAGAGATCTTCTTGCGTACCACTGACGCTCAGCGAAAAGAATTCGCGCCTTCCCATGAGAGAATGCGACGGCGCCTCATCCCACTCCTTTTTACTATTTTCCACTTTTTCGAAACATATCGCAAGCTCCACCTCGAGCATATATTCGAACACGGAGGTCATGGTCTGCTCCACGAGCCGTATACCCTCAATCCCATCGAGGCCCGTATCATGACCCTCTATGATGACCAAACCCTGCTTCGGGTGCATCAAGTCTTTCCACTCGTTGTTTCTTCCTTCTGTCGTAGGCTACGACCCCCCTCGTATGTCGGTCGTGTGGAAAGATCTTTGCGCGGATACCTTCGCGAGAAACCAGCAGACGAGGTGCACGTTGCCATTCTGTGCCTTGGCGGTTTGCGTCAAGTTGAGAGACTTTGGGAGATCAAGGGCTACAATAGCCGCAGGGGGGCGGTCGATAGTTGGTACAACGACATAACTACGCCCCCACCTGAGCCCACGTCAAAGCCGCGTCGAGGCCTCAGGGCTTTGGGGCGGAAAAAGTCGAACGCATGTGTGAAGGATGCACCTAGGTCTTCAATAGAAGGGCGAGACGCCCGACGGGGCTCAGGCGGCTCCTTTGAAGACGCATCGCTTTCCACGCTGGAGTCGGGCCTTGTCTTCAACACAAGCCTCTCTGCCGGCATGCCTATGGAGATGCTCGCTCACGATAATGTGCGACGTCTGCTCCCGGATCTCCCGAATTTGCAGCAAATTTGGTTGACAACAGCAGAGGCTTTGATCTTGGACCGCAATATCGTAGACCGGCCGCAAGACATCAAGCGCAATGCTCAAGTCATGTTGGATTTGATCAAGGATGACGGCATCGAGGAAGAAGATGAGTGGTGGTATGGTCC